TAAGTCACTAGTTCTCCTGCAATATGTGGATGAAACAAAACCCCTCTCGCGAGTTATAAGCAAATGTTTTTGGGACTTTACAATTAGTGATCAGTGCGGTGAAATCATAGGTGTGTTGCCATATGCATAGTTCTACACGTTTGATGATTTTCTCCTCCAAATGGGCAGACACGCACGGAAATAGACCACGTTCTTACCAACCGAAGATGGAGCCTATTCGACGTATCTGTGTTGCCATCATTTGAGACTGGCTCAGGATCATCGTCTCGTACGCGCAAAGATACACCTCAATAAGAAAATATTTAAGCGCGACACACATAGGCCCGCACCCTTCAGGATCCCTTCGTTCAATACCAATGTACTAGAATCCGCAGTCGAAGCTTACAATTGGAGCCTACTGGATGACCCAACGGAAGATTATGAACATCTTGCCAAAGGCTTGCTAAATTGTGCAGATATCTCTCGACACTCACAATCAGACTCTATCCCAAGACTGAATGCTCTTGCCATCACGCTCTTGGAAAAACGCAAGGCTATGAAGCAGGATCTCACCGCCACTCACTTGCCGCATAGCAGTTAAGGAGTCGCTTCGAATATATAGAAGGACCAAATTATTGGAAGCAGCGGAAACAAAATCTAGCATCAAGCGCTGCAAGCGTGATCTGAACGATCAAAAGACCATCATGTCAGCCCTCATAAACATGGGAGAATAAGAAGGTCAATGGAGAGCATCGTCTGTGATTTCTACACTAAACTCTTCCGTTCTTCAACAATCGTCCCAAGATGCTCGATACCGCTTGCGGAGGATCCTCCTGCTATCCTGGAATCGGAAGTGGCGAACGCGATAAAAGGCATGAGGAAAGGAACTGCCCCAGGCCCGGACCACATACCAGCAGATTTACTTCGTGCTGGAAATACCGCCTTACACACTCTTCTCGCAAAACACTTCAATCGTTATGTCAAAATAAGGAAGATTCCAGAGCAGTGGAAGGGATCAAAAACAGTTCTATTCAAGAAAGGACAGCGTGAGGACATCACTAACTACCGACCGATAAGTCTTCTCTCGGTGGTTTACAAAACATTCACGAAAATACTGCTCAATCGCATGGAATGCACTTTGGATGAATACCAGCCAGTGGAGCAGGCCGGATTCAGAAAGAACTTTTCATGCATGGACATACAAGCAGTCACCCAGCTCATCGAGAGGAGTCACGAGTATCACCTTCCCTTGGTTCTTGTTTTCGTGGATTACAAGAAGGCATTCGACTCAGTCGAAGTCAACGCTGTTTTGAATGCCCTTACGCAAGCCGGAGTTCTCCCTGCATATATCCATTTGCTCGAACAATGTTTTACGAATACATCAACAAACATTCAGTTGTTCGACCGCAAGATGAGGATCCCAATTGAAAAAGGAGTAAGGCAAGGAGACACGATATCTCCAAAACTGTTCACGGCTGCGCTGCAGTATGCTATGTCAAACCTTAACTGGGAAGACAAAGGATACCTCATCAATGGAAAGAGAATCAATAATCTCCGCTTCGCTGATGATATCGTTCTAATCTCCACTAACACAGCTGAAATGGAAGAGATGATCAACGAACTCAATGTGGAAGGTCTGAAGATAGGGTTGGAAATGAATATGTCCAAAACGCAAATGATGGTGAACCAGTGGAGTGATAAATAACTTGAAATAAATAAATTATTGGAGAAATAAAAAATGGCAGGAAGAGCCTAGAAAGGGGAAAACCTACGTATATCTAGGAAGAGAGCTGAACATGACGAATAATATCATTTCTGAAATATGCCGCAGAAAACGTGCAGCATGGGCAGCTTTCGGATCGATTCGCGAAGTAACAGATCAAGTAAATGATCCAGAACTAAAAGCTTCGATATTCAACGCCTCAGTATTGCCGGCAATGTGCTACGCAACTGAAACTTGGCCCAACAACAAGACAACCGCCAAGGCCATGCAAACTGCTCATCGAGCATTAGAAAGGTGTTTTCTGAAGATTAGCACACGACAGCAATGGCAGCAAAGCATACGTAGCTCAGAATGAAGGAACGATCACGCTTGAAAGATCCGCTTCTTTACATGACGCGCAGTTGAAGCATCGATGGGCCGGTCATTTACTTCGCCGCACTGATGACAGATGGAGTCTACGCGTGACGGAATGGCTCCCAAGAGACAAAACGAGACCCTTGGGACGACCGCCAACCCGGTGGGCCGACTCGTTTTCAAAATTTTTCAGAGAACGCGGCCTACATTGGATGCAAGTTGCCAAGAATCGGGCTATGTGGAAGAGCTGTGGTCCCCACTGAGAAGAACGCCAGTTGATGGACTATCAAAGTATCAAAGTAAGTAAGTAATTTCATAAATTTTTTGCATATTTTAATCAATCTATAACTTGAAACAATATAAAACTAATTCTATCGCATGATCCTCTGCATGATAAATTTGTACGTCAGTTCAGGGTTTATTCGTCTTGTTGTAGTGGCAGTAGCAAAGACTGGGCCACACACAGCGCTGGTTCTCTGCTGTCCTCCTTGCAATAGGGTTCATTTGAGGATCGTAAAGCATAATCATTCATTATTGTCACTGACCTATTTTTATTCCTAGTTGATTAACCCGTTAAGGGCTTGCGCTTCCGAAACCACGCTGTTAAGGCTCTTGAAGCATACTTCAACATACTAACGTATTTCGCAATGAAACGGTCTTAGACGGAAGAAATTTGAAATTGAATAGAAATGCGACAGGAATTATGAGACAACCTAATATTTCGAAAAGAACTCCATGTCCTGAAAGACCTCCCTTGTAAGAACGCTGCTAATTTTTGCACGACATCATGTGTATCATTTTCTTCTGCTAACTCCTCTACATTAGGCCGGAATGAACCCACCGTGCATACCTTCTTCCTATCTTTTGCGACCAAAACCTTTAGAGTTCGACTTGCTAATCACTTTGACCAGAGATCAGCAAATATTATATTTTGCCCGGTAATCACAAGATGAGCTAAGATCGTGTAGGTGGCACAGAAGGGAGCGAATCATCTCATTCGGAAGTAGCGCATTTTCGCTGCTGCGATGATTGAGCTATGATGTTCTCTTGTCCATATACTAGGTCACTTTGGCGTCTGCATCGTAGCAGGGATCAAGAAGTACACCTTTTTGTTTTTCATGCAAATTTCAAACTGTGAATGCCTCATAACATTTTGATTTCACTAGCAACACTGGGAGAAGCGGAAAAGCATTTTCGACTCGTTGGGCTTCACAACTTCAAAAGTATACCCAAGTAGAAGTAGTGTGAACGATTCTCTTCGGTCTGTAGTATAGACCCCTAGAGGACAATCACAGATGTGGCGTTCCCGTGCACGGAAACCAACCGACAAGAGCGCTTGGGCCTTGCAAAGTAAGCTGCAGCTTTTTTCTCTTATCAGGCTGTTGTCTGGCGCCCTCTCATCTGTTGCGCTCTCTCGCCTCATACTCTCCTCTCCGCGCTTAGTCTCTCATTCCCTTAGCACAGCCGATTAGGAAGGTGAGTGAGCCCTTAACCTAAGCGTTTTCGATTTTTTCTTTTTCTTTACTGCCGGCCCATTTCGCACCAATACATTCGCATTCGTGTGCAAGAAACCACCAATTTGATGTGGGCATGCCTTCAAAGCAGGAATCAGAGCCGCGGGAACGGGTAACTGACAGGAGGCCCGTCGCGCGGCAACAAGGCAGAGTCAGCGGACGAGTCGCAGCGCGTGTAGTGATTTCGCGTCAAGTTAAATAGAATGTACCATTGTACGTCCTACATCGCACATCACGCGCTGCAACTCGTCCGCTGACTCTGCCTTCTTGCCGCGCGACGGGCCTCCTGTCGGGTACCCCGCGGACTGCATCGACGAAGTATGAGTTAAAGGTACGATAAGAGCTAGTCAATGCAAACAACGGTTTCGGGACGCCCATTCTCAGGACCACTGATTCAGAGCGCAACAGGATCCCCGGCACGTCAAACGAACACCATGACGCTGCATCGGCCGATGGGATTCTGTACAAAGCCCGATACGGGAAGATAGGAACAGGCGGATCGCTCCACTCCCCTCGGGGGAGCATAAAGAATAACTGTGGTGAGGTCGCTCCACATGTAGAAATCAGTTAGATTCCAACATGCCAAGGTGTTGAAGTCCTTCAGGAAGAAAATTTAATTAAGCTTCCTAATTAGTATATGAAGTGAATCGGTATGTAGTTAGCATAAGGATCGCAATAAAGGGGGGGTTTGAAAAAAACTAGGAGAGTAACAACAAGGCCTCATTACATACAGGGAAATGCTGCGAACTATGCAAGAAAAAAACAAATACGCCGGATGACTCCGTACGAGTTGGTATGGGAGTTGTGCAAATTCCAAGAAAATCACCTATGCCCAGATCAACAAAATACCGCAAATTTTGAATCCTGGCAGTTTACTGCTCACCCGTAAGCAACGTTAAAAGAAGTACAGAAGTTCGCTACAGACCTTTTTCCATCCTTCAGACATAGAAGATTCACCAGATTCTTCAGACATTCCAGGCAGTCGTCAGAGCAGCTGAATACTCGGCAAACTGAATGCCTAGTGCCAGCCCCTTCTCGATCATTCGCAAATTGGCTGCAATCATAATCCATTGACTGGCTATTGCCATCGACTATCCACGAATTCTAGCAATCTTCTCCTCGACTTCTCAACAATAGTACCACTATTGTGTAGAATAGAAAAAACTTTATAAAGCACCGATAACAACCAAATGAACAATACAGTCTTTTCATGTGCAAACATAATGTACCGGTAGAAAAAACCAGGTAGAGACGTTTTAAATAAGCGACTGCTCATTACAACAATTATCAATAACAATCACTAACAAACATTCTTCAGCTTTTGAGCATTAAATAAGAAAGAATAAGAAATTAAAAAGTATACTCTGCCGTTAATAGTCATCAATCAACCCGAAAACAAAGCAAGATATGCTTATGCCTGCATTTCCTCATCAACTTCTGTCCTTGAACAATTCTCTTCCAATGACTGCATTTCTTCGTCGAACTCCCGCCTTTGGACGAGCCTCATCCGAATCGCACTCAACCATTATAGCCTCTGAGGCCTGCTTCTGGAGCACCACTTCTTCTACAGAAGGCAACGGTTTTAGAGACTGAGAATCTTCGCCCGCTGCTTCATCTCCGGTGCTCTTTTCTTTCTCCTTCTTCATCAACTCCGCCAACTGAAAAGAAAATTGTTCAAGCACCTGTAACAACTAGAAGAATCATTCAATAATTGCTACCTCTCTTTGTGAATTATTTCAGATTTCTGCAGAATCTGCAGAAATTAAACTGATAATGTATCCAATTTGTAAAATAACAAAACAAATGTCAAAATAAATGCAAAAAAATGTTGATATCATCCCACTGCTGCCACAAATTCAAGAAAAGATCACAATTACGCTTAAGCTCGGCCTCTAAAGATTATTAGGCATCCTGATCTCACCACTTTCTTAATACCACCTCTTTCCTTATCTCACGCACTGACCGGTCTGGCCAATTTGGGCGATAATTTGGTTGCCTGATTCAGATCGACCTCAGTTATTACGGTAGTGGCGCCATAATGAATGTAGATTCGTACCTGGACATCGAATAACCACAAGTTGACACCGAATTTGATGACAACAGCACTGGCACAAAAGTGACGCCAGCACCAAAAATGAATGTCATATTGGTAACCACGCTCATCACCGGCACAAAACATCTTACAGACAAAGTTTTCAACAATAAAAAGTAGGTATGGGGCAGTATTGCAATTAGCAAGCGATCCCCTAAACTAACTCAAGACCGTTCCAAGGACGGCCTCGACCAAAATCATTTTAACGGATCTGTTGCAGCTACACTTTACTCAATCAGGATCCCTTAGCGCTCATATTCGTCAAAAATGGGATACGAACTGCTAAGGTGTGAACTCTAATTAATATGCGCTTCGAAAATCTTAGCGGAATGACCGCCGCCCTCTTACTAGTGTCCTCGCTGTGAGAGCAAGAAAACGCCATCGCCCACGCTCTTGAGCAAAAGCGTAGGAGACGAAAGACTTTCTGTAGCAGCCACAATGCAACTTAGGATTGATCACGGACGCCAGAATCATTTCTGATTTCGCACAGCATGTGTTGAAGGATGTCGAAAAAAGTCCTTGCGGTCCAATTCCTCGACTTGCAAATTCCTGGGGGATCGTTTTGAAACTTTCATTAGATAACAAGTGGTAACGACAGTGAATGCACTCCTCATAGCATTTCTGTCGCAGCACTTAGCAGCGATTATAACTAGAAAAAAATGTTTCTCATAAAAGCATGTTCGAATGCTCCTGCTTTTAATAGACCCAGAAGGCGCGCCAATGGAAGCGATGCAGCAAGAAGCGGAGGTATTGAGATGGATCTTAAAAAATTTTCACGACATGGCCATTACTTGGTTGCAGTTGTCCAGGGGCCGGGTGCAGCAAGCCCCAACTAGGGAGATGGGGACCTATCCCCCTAGTCCGACGTTGGGGATACGTCCCCAACGTCGAGTATATCCCCTGCGTGAGGTGACGGGGATTGTTCCTTGACCTCGGAGACATATCCCTAACCTCGGAGACATATCCCCAACGTCGGGGATAGGGTATGGGTCCCCATTCCCTAGTTGGGCTTGCTGCACCCGGCCCCAGATACTTGAGAAAAAAAAAACTATAAACCTGGCCGCCCCCATTCGCTCAATGACGAGTGTTCTCTGAAGGTGTTTGGAAAGAGTCCCGCTACCATACGCGGGAAATGGCGGAGCTTTTTCAGTACTGCAAGAGTGCATCAGCTATTCCATAATATGGCTCTTGGAAAGAAGTAAAATTGCGGCGAGGGTAAAAGATCTGACCGACCACCGGCTTCAAAGGAGGCGTCTGGTTCAGCCCGATATGTGGTTAGGGATAACAAGCAAAGCAAAGGTATCTTACGTGAAAACAGGCAGGAGCTCTGCTGATCTGAATGCGGTGATAGAAATCCAACGTCGACTGCGTTACTGCAAAACCAGAAAGGCCCCCTTTAAGTGGTGAAGTTTCGAACGTTTCGTTCACTGAGAACCTCTCCAACGAGCTTAACTGCTATTGGTGAACAACAATGTATGTCATTGCGATTGTTGCGCAAGCACTGCTTCAGAAACATGGAAAGTTACTTTATCTCGGCAACGCTTGCCTCACGGATAACCAAGAATGTCGAGCAGAACTCTCAGTCCGCTGGGTAGTCCGTTGATGGGGACTTACGTTAGGCTGGTTGTCAGATCGCGATCACGTTCGCAGGCTGTGCCTGATTTTCGCTTTTTCGCGAGTTCACGCGATTGTCGGCCGCGATTCACGCGACGGGTCACGGAAATCAAGTGCCCGATCACTGCCAAGGTGTTCTCCAATCCTGCCGCCACTTCTGCTTGATAGTGATGGCTGAATGACGACTGCTCATGATTCCACTTGTTTCATATTCAGTGTTTCAAATGTTCACACACTTGCAATTTTTGCGATCCGTCGCAGGTTTCGCAAATCGCGAAAATCAGCGAAATCGCGAAATGAACTCGCGCAAATCGCGAAAATGCGAAAATCAGCGAAATCTGCAACCTGGATCACGGACTCTGACACCAGTCTTACCAACTGAGAAGCTGTACACTGGCGACAATGGTGGGGCATTAATCTGTTCGTTGAGTGGACACGTACTTAGAAAGAAAAATTAAAAAAAAAACTGATAATTCGCGAAAGCTTCTGACAACCTAGTATTATCTTCGCATCATCCTACTTACAATAAAGCGCGTCGTCTGTCGTTCTGTCGTTCTGTATGTTTGTCACGAAATTCCCAAGCTTCTGAGGATCCGCCTGGAGAGACCGGGTCAAGTGTGGGATGGGTGGGCAAGGTCTCGCGAAGTACAAAACACACATCAGCCAAGCCGAGCCCGCTTACAGTAAGGCGTGGCGTGTGCATCGAAATGAACTGTACTGACGACCAAGATTTCAATTTCAGTGACAAAACGACCTCGAAACTGGGCCAAAAAGTGGGTAAAGGTGTGCATTGGTAAGTCACATCGAATTAGGGAGACCCACCCCCGGTGGGCGGGGCGTTCTCCAAAAAAGCAGTGCTTTATGAAAAATTTCATAACTCGGTTGGGAGAAAGCCTACAGAGCAGAAAACAAATTGGTGTAGGGGAGCAATGTCTAAGGTGTTCCCAGCATACATGACGTGGGCGGAGGTCCGCCCACAATGGGCGGGGCGCGCTCTGAAGTGTACAGCGTTTTCTACAAGTCCTCATAATTCGGGCCGGAGAAGTCTTAGTGAGCCGGAAAAAGGTGGATAGAGGTGGGTGGAGGAGTGGAGGTAACTGTCATCGGTGGGCGGGCATGACCAAAGTGGAGCGGAGTTTGCGCGTAATTCGTACTACGTTCCAAAAAAGTCCGGAGATTGCGTGATAAAATTGGATAGAGGTCGGGTGAAGGAGTGGGAGGTCAATGTCATTGGGTGGCGGAGCACGTTACAAACTGGTCGCGCGAATTATCACACGAACATTCACTAACTCGGTTCCAAGAAGTTCAGGAGACCTGGAAAAGAGTGGGTCGAGTCGACAACGCACGGGAGGACAGCTGCTATTGGTGGGTAGAGCGTACACCAAAGTGGGCGGAGTTTGCGACGGAAATTCATAACTCGGTTCCAACAAGTCCCGGAGACCGGGAAAAAGGTGGATAGAGGTGGGTGAAGGAGTGGAGCCCAACTGCTGTTGGTGGGCGGGGCATTTCCAAGGTGGGCGGAGTTCTCCACAAAACTTTGTGACTCGGCTGCAAGAAGTCCTGGAGACCGGGAGAGAAGTGGCGAAGGAAAGGAAGTGAATTTCTAATGGTGTGCGGAGGATACACCAAAAGAGCAGGATTCGCCGCCAAAATTATAAATCGGCTCAGAGATAGTTCAGAGATCAGGTAAAAATGGGAAGAGGTTGGCGAGGAAGAAAAAAAAGATAGGTGGGACATGCAAAGAAGAATAGGCGGAGTTTTACCACCACGAGGTTCATAAATCGGTCCGGAGGCAGTCCGAGGCCGGGAAAAAACGGACAATTGGTTGACGATTACGGACAATTGGTGGAGGAAGGAGGGAAGGTCAAAAGCCATCGGTGGATGAAGCATGGGGCAATCGGATAGAATTCAGCTTGAAAGTCAAATATTCGAAGTGTATTGGGCCAAATTCGAAAATTCACGCCGCACCATCCTATATCGCCGCAGAACTCGCGTGCGGCGCCAACTGGTAACTGACAGAACAGCAAGCAAATAGAGGAACGATGGCGAGAATCGCTACTAACGGCAAGCGGAAGATCCTCTAGAAACGATGCCGATAAGCGATGTAGCCGAACTTTTGAAAGTGACTACGTACACCCACATTTCAGGATGATGATAAAAGCCAAATCCGGGACCATTTTACAAAAAACTTTACCTTAGCCACATCAGTTGCAAAGTTGTTGCGACCTTTCCGGCGAGCACGTAACATTTTTCGTGTCTCCTGTTTAGTTTCATCGAAGACTTTTTTCTGAAACAACCATACGCTTCACTTAAAAGGCCAAATGTAGATCCTGCCAAAAATAGCAAACAGAAAGCAGAAACAGTGTTCTGAAATATGCATTAATGTAACCTTTACGTCCTCAGGGACGTCCGCATCCAGTTTGAACAAAGAAATAAAGACACCACCAGGTGTACGTCTTCGCTGTCCATTTTCAGTCTGAAACGTACCTAAGTAATTTAATAGATATGGACAAAGAAAAGCAAGCACAGTACCATCATTCCGCCTGTTGATTCGACCTTTCGCATCTCTTCAAAAAGAGCTATGGCCTGGAAAATAAGGACATTGGCACAGTGTTACGTGAGCCGGGGGCTTACGAGCACCTATTATACAAACCTTGTCTATCCCGCAGGCGCGAACGATGCTTTTCACTGTCCTAGGATCGCGTTCACCCATAGCTTTTGCTATCTCATCAGCAAGCTGTTCCAAGGATATATCGGAAGAAAATTCTACAGCCATCAGTGTTTCAAGAGAATAACTTGCTGTCAGCAATTGTCCAGGATCGCTGACCTCAAATTTCAAATTGAGCATACCAATAGCGACTAGACAAAAATGTCACTTAGTACACTTACCCTGCCTTGCCATGAGCGTTTTAAGACCATTACCTCGTCCTCTACCGACGAATCCGCCGCGTACACCACCACGAGTGCGACCCTGTGGACCTCTGCCACGCCCAGCAGTTGAATGGAAGGACTCTGAATAAAGAAGAAACAAGCAATAAGTCTCCGAGAGCAATCGAAAAGACATCTTTCCTAGACTACCGCCTTCAGGAATCTAACTGATACAAAAGAACTCACCACCTTTTCTTTTACTACCACCTAGCGCATCGCGATCACGGGAACCATTCACTTCACTGGAAAGTCGTTCACAGAAAGCAGTTTCACAGTCGAGATCAATGGGAGCGTCACCAAACGGATCATCAGCTGTGTCTGGCTTTACTTTACGCTCCATAGATTTGCTGAACTGAAACAACAGTACACCAGCTGAAGAACGGAGTAACAGTTTGAGTCAAACCTACATTACGCAGAAGTTGAAGCTGACCGATCTGATCATTGTTAAATGTGAAACAAAAGAATGATGCATGAGGTAATGAGTTCGAGAAACGGATAAACGAATGCCTTCTACGCTTGGACCACGCTTCGAAACTCTATAAGGCCCGATAAATCAGTAAGCATATTTAATCATCAAAACTGTTTCGCACCAGCAACAGGACAGCATTACTCTGCGATACAAGAGAATTATGCATCGTATTGAGGATGCCCTCAGCAAAAGTGTGGAAGTTGTGCTCGCTCTGTGACATGTAAGTGCGGGGAACCTACGGAATGAGAAAAAAACCCACTCTCTAGGAACTAGTCTGTGGCAAGAAGTCAGAACTGACAGAAGAATAAGATCTCGCAGAAACTCAGCATACACTCGAACATCTAACAAGCAGTGATTATTTTTAAGAACTTACAGATTCGAAGCCTTCCTTATCAATACGAACGAAATTGGAGGGGATGTGATACGACTCAACTCCGCGTAAGATCTTCCCATCATTCTGAAACTTTCAATGATGCGAAATGTATATATCAAACGAATTGGTGATTAAGAGAGAGCACATACTTTCTTCTTCTCCAAACAGATGCGAGATCCCTTCTTCATTAAACTCTCCTCCACTAACGCATCACTCCAAAGACAAGCTGCACGCTTGGTGGAAGGACCTTCGTCTTCCTGCAAAATACTACGAATTAGGGAAAGAATACCTACAAGCACATTTCAACCAAGGATCAATCAACATTGTAATATCCGCTGAAGCTTTCAGCTATTGCTGATTTCGGCTCCGTCTCATCACGCTAGGCGTGTAAGAGCTGATAAGCTCTGAAAATATAACATCAGATAGCCAGAAAGCTAAATGACACGTTCGATTCCCGCCTGGGGCGAAAGTTTTGTCGAACCCATCCTCTAGCTTCACAGCTCAGCATTCTTGTGGAACATATTCCCTATTTAACATATGCATCATCTGAATTATTCTAGCGCTCAGAATTCGATACAGTGGAACCACAGGGACCCGACTCACGAATACCCAGCTGGTAATGATCTGGGGCCAAACTCAATCACGAAAGCGATTGGGGCGCTGCCAATCGTAAGCGCGAACCGCAGTTGCGAATTGTGTGCGTAATCGCAGAGTACTACAACTATCTCAGTTTTGGGTGTACTTGCCTCTCCACTACTCAATCGCGATCTACTATTGCCTCATCTCCTACCAACAGTGTATTGTTCCACTTGTGGTTGTTCCATTTCAGGCCATTCTAGACGTTAGAGCCCTTTTTGACATTATTTTATAACAGACATGATACTGCCTATAACAGCCTATTGCGTTCCAATTCATATCTAATTTCATTGCACCTTTCGAAGGTCTCACACTAATTAGCAAAGTAAATAGATCAGCAAATACCGGCATTCGAGAAGGTAATCATTTAAAACGTCATTCTCTTTCTAGAATATCAATAAAACTTCGAATAATGAAAAAATACAAAAAAGCAGCAACGAAATTAGAACTTGGAATTATGGCCAAAACAGAATGATTCCATAGCCTACCTCTTCATCGACGTCTCTCGTTTCTTGACTGTTTGCTGGGTGACTATCGTCCTCATTGTCAGAAGATTCCGAATCTAGAATACCTTACATTCTGCGTAAAAATTTGGATGCACAACATCAATCTAAGTATAATAAACTCTTCAAACTTTTACTCACGTGTTCTCCCTCTATAATCCATTCCAGCTCAGCCTAGAGAAGAAATTATGAAATAAAAAGCTTCTATGGTTTGGAACAATTCAGCGATAGTAGCGGCTAGCAAACCGGTCTCGAGAGAATAATAATTCCTAACCAAAGACAAAATAAAACTGTATTCCAGCTCTCTTAAAACACTTTAAAACGTCATGCAAAAAATCTAAGAGAAAAGGATTTGTACATATATTACAGCACTGTGTTCATACAACGATTAGCATCAACTTCACTGCACAAGTATACAAAGCAATCAGGAGGTAACGCGAAGGCATAAATATAACGTGGAAAACTATCAAGGCAGCTTAGCGATTCTTATCCCTTGTTGTGTGTATTTCCCCAACCTCGTCGGTGATCGTCCTTATATTCATCCCATCTCATCAGCCTCGCCCTCTCTCGTTCCTCAGCTTCCTCTTCCTCAAGTCCTCCAGACGGGTTGACTTTTGAATCGCTTCAAAAGTAATAACTTAGCAATGGATTGCTTGCAAAGACAGCGATTAAAATACGTACCTGTCGTCTGGTTGGTGGTGTTGTTGCTGTTGCTGTGATGTAGTCGATGCGCTACCGAATCGCTGGTTGTACCATTCATCGACCGTCATCGTGGGAATAGAAGGATATCCGAGGCCAAATACAGCTTTTTGCTGCTCTGTTCGTGTAATTATGAAGGGTCGCAACGGTGCTGAAGGAGGTTAAGGTGAACACAATATACCATGTATAGCATATACCGCGTCCACGTAAATCAATAATCCTCTGACCTGGTTTCGTGTCACTTTTCTGTAATGGCCGATTTGATGTTGCTGATCCATTGCTGTTTTCTTGCATACGTTTTTTCATCATTTCTACGAGAGGAAGCTCGTCTGAAAATAAAGTACCATTTAAATTTCAATGATGATGCCCAACATGACAACACCTTTCTCCAGCTGCAGAAGACCCTTATGAATTTTCGTCATCTCTCACTATACTAATGAAGAAATAAAAAAAACCTTCAATCGATTCAAGTTCTTCGATAACTTTTTCTTGCCAATATTTTACCACTGCCAAATGGAGACTTCTCTATAAAGAAGAATGTCAATGAACCGGCGCTTTGTTTATTAAAAAAAAAAAAGAAATAGAATTTAGTTCATTAACATACAGTACCAAGAGTGACTCGTCGCCGTTGTTCTGCTCCAGCTGCTTCTTCAACTCAGACATTGTCTTTTTCAATTCCTGCTGCTTTCGATATCTAGCAATTTTCAGTTCTCGCAATTCTTCGCCGGTAAATTTCTTTATTCCAGATCGAGAAGCATCGGTGCCTTCCTCTAAATTTATGAGTCCAACCGAAAGACAATACAAATCAACATTCATATGCAATACTGTGTTACATGGCCTCAAAATTTTGAACACGTGGCAACTTCACAGAATTTCCGTCAAGACAATAAACCAAGTAACGATTGTGCCGGACACTATGATAATAGCCACTTGTATTAAGCGCATACGAGATGCGGCTCTCTGTCGGAGCTGTTCAAAGAGCTCCAACTTCTCGAAGAACGAAATGCTCCACAGCGCCCGCTCCATAATGGAACCTGTGGCGAACCCTTTAAAAAGTACCTAAGCGATGTCGAATTATAGCAAAACGTCTCATGCCCTTTCTAAATGGATCAAACGTTGATTTCAAGAAATTTGCAGTACCTTGCAAACTTTGTAAGGATGTAGGCGGTCATGACGGAATGTTGCATCGCGCCTTCTACACGTTGTTACTACGATGTAGAGGGGGATCTCGATTGGGGATTGCCAGGGTCAAGCGTTCGTTTGAAAAGCTGAAACAGGAGGGCAATATTTGGAGACGTATGATAGGATCAGCGGTGGGAAAAGCGTCCCCTTGGGGGAAAGATATGATACGGCACCTGGCGCCTCGGCCGTGTCGCAGATATTTTCGCTACAGGATCATGCATATTACTGCCGCATCGAGTATGCTGAAGTGTAAAGTTTTATCACCTTCAGTCTAATGCCCCTCAATCCCCTCTCACGGCAACGTTCAGTACCCTAGATAAATTAAAGGCATTCATAGATACCTACCATGTCCTCCTTCAACGAAAAAGTAGTCGCGTTCAAACTCGAAGCCATAACTGCGTAGCCGCTTCAAGAAATCGCGGTAATAAACCTGAACACGAGAAGTGATAACTCCTACCAATAAATATCTCGCAGAAACAAAACCAACCTTGGCAAGTTGCAATTGGTCGGCACGATGGCTAGGCTCTGTTGTGGTATTATGATGAGCGACACCAAGGTAGCAAGGGATGAGAAGAAACGGAATGGAAGAAGTCGCAAGATCTTCTACCTGATTGTGAATTTTAAACTGGTCACTATGCGTAACTGAGGGCTGTCGTACTAATGTCAACCCCCCACCTCCCCAATATATAACAGCCAACAAATAAGAGAAATACATCTCAATCCAAATACAAAAACAATGTAGACGATGGCTATTTATGGCCCACTGGACAGAAAGCTCGCGTTTCGCGCGCGAAACATTTTTCGCTGCAGGGAACTACAGGTCCACTCATGATCAGCGGTGAACCTGAGGTTCCTGCAGCGAAAAATGTTTCGATGTCAGACTTTGCGATTGGAGCGATTTTGCACCAATTGCAGGAGCGACGGATCGCTTGAGCGATGCGAGCGACGGGAGATTTACGAACTGATGGCGCCGAATTATCGGTTGGTCGGCGGTGTAAATCTCCCGTCGCTCGCATCGCTCAAGCGATCCGTCGCTCCTGCAATTGGTGCAAAATCGCTCCAATCGCAAAGTCTGACATCGGCCAGTGGACAATCACCTAACGTTGCGCGCTCGCTACAACCGTTACAATATCGCACGACCGACTACGAATACGTCCAAGATACAGACAGATTTCATACATTGAAGCTCATTACTGTCTATATTCTTACCTCCTCATTGTCGGAGAATAAGCCGAGCGTAGACACGGCATGAGTAAGCTTTTCGAGGATGCTGACAGCTTCCGAAATGCGAGTCTGAATGAACATTTCTTCACTACATTAGAAACCCTCCTTAACTACCAAGTGAGAACACCTAGTTTTCTTCATGAGCTTCACAGCCTAATGTTTGGGCTTTTTACATCTTAATGCAGAATTTGGGCGTAATTTTCGTGCAAGATTAAATTAAATACATGTTAAAGCGAGAGATTACGATAAAATGTGTGCAAGCATGGAAGTACATGCATGGAGGCAGTAGTCAGGGGCCGAAGAAGCGAGATGTGGCTTTTCGTGGCCAAAGGGACGCTAGTTCAGCGCCCGGGGCTGCCAATCCTCCCTGAGCTCCGCCTCCGCCGCCTGTGCTCCGCCCATCAGTGTGTTGCTAGCAGCATCATTGTTCTTATCATTTGATGAGATATTCCACTTCGAGTGTGTATCCTATAACTTTTCCATGGAATGCGTGATCAATCAAAGCATGATGCTTGCTGAAATGATAGAGGCTATCAGCATAACATGTGCAAACGACCTCCTAATTGGTTGCTAGCTCGTCCATTATCGGAGGTCAACGGGCAAAGAAAGGGGTCCCATTTTGCGCCTTCTTGACGGATTTCTTTGCTTTTTTCGCCACTGGGGCATTATTCAGCATCTCCACTTCCACTATGAACCCAACCCAATCTTATCGTGAATCTCTCGCTTTGCATGTCAGTATCACAAAAAATCGGAACTAGCCATTACGCTATCCTTTTTTGCATAGCACGCGCGACTGTAAGGCCGATGTCAGACTTTGCGAATCGCGCGATTCGCTAGCGTCTGCGGTCGCGTCGCGGCCAGTGAATCACTCAATTGGCTGGTACCGCAACGCGACCGCGGACGCTAGCGAATCGCGCGAATCGCTAGTAGCGAATCGCGCGATTCGCAAAGTCTGACATCGGCCTAAAGATGTTGTACTTTCTATGAAATGGACTTTCTTACCAAAGTGAAACACTATAACTGCAATTAAGAGGTTTCACGATAGTATCCGCATAGACAACAAATTTAACTGGGGAACAATTAACGCAACTAGCTGACAGAAGTAATATACCTGTAAATCCATAGCCGAAAACCGACCATTTCCTATGTCATTTATCACGTCTTCGGCCTTTTTAAACTGTACGGTCAGCGTTTCTTCATCATCAAAATCACCGTGGGATTTAGTTTCGGTCATCTTGAATTCGTAATTGGAAAAGAGCGAACGCAATTATGTTCGATGCGAGTTGCGAATTACAAAGAGCCAGGAAGGGTCCATACACAGCATGGTGCAGTTGCGGTGTCAATGATCACCAAACTGTTCAAAAAAAAGAAAGAAAAATAAGAATGCTACACACAAGGTCTCTACTTGTCAAGTAAAAGTTGTGGGGCTAAGAGGCGCTTGGGCCAAAGAGGGCTGTCACATCCGTGACAAGGACCACCGATAACCGGGAGACATCGTTTCCAAATTTCAAAGTACCATCTTTTTGTTCTTTACTATTACTGTGAACAACTTTTAAGCATTGCCGCTTGCTGGGAATCTTTTGCACCGCTCATGTTTTGTATACTTACCACTAGAAATTCACGAAAGCGAGGTGAGACATTGCTGAACCGTGCCAAACATTTGCTAATCACATTTTTCTTCCTTCGACGGTAGAGCTTATTGTGTGCTAGGTCATCCGAAGGTCAGACATATTGCTTCTAATTCTTTCGCTGTCCATCATTTTATGGAGTCAAGATTCTTCAAGTCTCAAAGAATTTATCGGTAATTAGATTTGCGCTGCGTTTTTGTAGTTTCATTTGTGTCAATAGCCAATGTGAATGGGTTTCAGTTTACCTCTTCCGAAGAGAATGCTCCTTGTGTTACAGCGGGGTCCATCCCGTGCACTGCGACACTCGAAGAAAAAAAAAAACGCGCCGTTTAGTGCCAAAAATAAGTGAAAGCGGTGCGTCGTGTTAATGTGATTACAAGCTTACAAAGGATGGAGCATTAGGAAAAACGAAATTGAAATCTGAGGTCGATATCATACTCTGCGTGAGTTAAGTGTCCCGATCGAAATTCCAGCGATTCGAAAATCTACTATTTGTTCGCATCGAGTGCCAGGCCGACTGGCGAGTGATGTACTACCATGACGGCCGGGATATCAACTGCAGAGTTGTTTAATACGTTGAACTCACTCAATTTACTTGAATACATCAATAGAGCAACCCCAAAGCGAGTATGAACAGAAGGGCCGGATTAGCAACGACGATTTCGGCCGCCGGGAACGCGCGGTTGCGGTATATCCGCGCCATATTGGTTGGGAAACGAAAAAGGAGGAGAGAGGAAGAGGAAAAGGGAAAGGAAAAAAAGCAGAAACTGATTGACACAATGAATGTCCGGAAACAGTGACGTTCTTGGACCATGTTCGTAGTTCGCGCCATCCCGCACCAACAGAGGGGAAATGCATATTGGATTGGAAAAATGCGGATCGATTCACAAAAAGACAAGGCAACATTTGAACAGTTGGATCGTTTTTCGCTGTTTCTTGATAGGTCAATGCGAACTATAGAATGACCGTTGGCACTGCGATGCATCGTTAGATGAGATATTTCTATATTTGCCATGGGAGAACTAAAGAAATGAATCGTACTAAGAGGAAGAATAGCAGCAAATTTCTAATGCAGACAACACCCTTCCTACTAAATCCAGAACCCAAACATGGAGGAATGATGACAGCGCTATGCAGGACTGGGCGAGAGGTTGGTTAGGGTTATTGAGTGTCATTTTTGCCGGAAAGGAATGAGATGCACAAAGAATGTTACCGCATTCATTTACGAAAACAACGAGACATCAGGAAAGCCGTCAACTATAAAACATTAAGCGTCCTGCGTACAGCCGCTTTCATTCTACGTCTTTTTTGAAATGCATTGCCAATTCCCTGATTTCATTGCTCTGGGCTTAGTTTAGAAGGTCACTTCGATGGTAGTGTGTGTCCATCGTTATGATGTTTTACTTGGGCTGAACACTCAAAAACTCAAGAGTAATGTTAATAGTGATGGTGTCGGGAGATTATAATTGTGCATTCTCAACACAACGAACCAAAACTAATGACTTTTTAAGGTTTCTAAGAAGTGTACAAGAACATCGGGGAAAAGTGAAAAGGACGACGTACATCCGGCTCCGTGTCCACCTCTTCAGTTCTGCAGTCTTGCCCAACGGGAATGTGGTTCACTGAGCGGCAGTACTATCCTATCCGAAGGGGTGGGTGGTGATGAAAGTTCTTAAATTTCATTTGGTATTCAGGTGGGATTTGCCGGTGATAAAGACTTAATTAATGTATGTATAGGTTGGAAAGTTAAATGCCTGAAATGTAAGAAGAAAGGATATGTTTCCAAATTAATAAATTTAAGGAATTTGGAGTCATAGGAGAAGCATAGCCATTTAGACCAGAAGCGATTTTTGCTTTTTCCCGCGAATCACTTTTCCATTCGGGACATCAGCGTCCGTCCGCTGTTTCGTGACGTAACTGAAGTGTTCTACACGAAAAATGATTCCGCGCTGCGACGCAAAAATTCGCTTTCTGTCTTTAGTAGAATACCCAACCTACGCGTCGGAGACTTGGACCCTGCGCAGGCAACACGAGCATGCGCTCAGCGTTATACAACGCGCTGTCGAGCTTGAAGTTACCCGATACACGCCCGTTTCAAAAGACTGAGTTTAAGAAGTGCGTAGACGGCAGAGGGAGATTCGTAGTTTCGACCCCTTCAACGGTCAAAGATAAAGACCCCATCGTTCTCGCCAATACATCAGAAACATTTTTTGAACATCAAGTGGGCGTAGTACGTCATGCGATTTTCTGATGACCGTTGGGCCAGACGGTTACCGACCCGGATTGCACGGGTGTAAACCAAACCCGAACGACGCCGGCGTTTGCATGGTCCCCGGATGCCGGAGCAATGTGCTTTGAGGGTGCTAAGGAGAGGTACGAATCATGGAGAGAATGAGAGTTGCTTACGCACCTCGGAATCCCTTTGTCCTGTGAGGCTTGGTCCTGAAAGTGAGCGATCCGTGAACCTTTACGATGTTACGGGGTTTGTCCCATTCGGGCACATTGCGCAGCGTGAATAAGTGCTCGGAAGGGGAATACCTCCGGAAAGCTACGGGCAAAGTAAATGAAATTTTCGGTATACCTTGAGTGGAGAGAATTAGCTGGAGTGCTCAGCCAACGCCACAAGGAGTTGTTGACTCCATCTCAATGAATTCGATGGGAAGTTAGAGACACATGACATGATTTTAGCGATTTCGAGAAAGAACGTGCGCGCCAGCAAATGCGCAACTGTGATCATCTTAGCCAAAAGGAAGTGAAAGAGCTGTCCGGATGCGGAAGAGTTGAACATTTTTACCGGGCGCGAAGCAGGGATTGTTGCTGGAATGGGAGCAAAGAAAGATGAAAAGAATTCCGTTAATTGATAGTTGCTTTTATACTCAACTTCATCTTCTCTTTTCGCTGGCTATTTTCTTGTTAACTGTTTTGTATTGTTTCAAATTTTTCTGTTATTCATTCAGGCGTTCTTTTTCAAAGATTGCGGTGAGGTGCAGATGTTTTGCGAGTATTACGATCGCGAGTAAAGTTTATTTGTTATTTCGGGGTTATTATTTTCCAGTACTCCTTTTTTATGCTTTTGGTGTGTGACTGTGAATCTGTTAGATTTCGTTAAGTTATTTCGTCATGTTGCAATTCGAGGAGGCAGAGCCGGGTGGCGTCACGTATGAGCGAATTAAATTCGTGATTGTGCGTCGGGCCGTCCTGAACTCCGCGAATGCTGCGGATTCGTTGGATTCATTAGCGTCATTTGTTCGCCAATAACCCTGCCTTGTCATTAAGAGGGAATGTAAGGTTAATTTAGATGGTTTTAGCCTGAAGACAGAGGGGCAAATAACTGGCCGAAAACACGACATCGTTTAGCATAGAGGCTCGACGAGTCGGTCACAGAACTTATGTGACGATTGTGAGCTAGTATGTGGTCCCTCATAATGCGTATAGTGGAAGCCAGCGTAGAGCTTAGAAGATCTTCTAATGCGTTGCGCTTGCGGCTGTTGACTTGTTTGATTTACACTAAATTACCCCAAAGTGGATATTACACGGGGCTGTGACAGAAAACAATTAGCATCAGGAGAGTATAAATTCACGGGATTCAATTTTCCCATTGGCACACTTTTCATGAAAAGAGCTTTCAGCATGTGCGGTGTTACAGGTTATAAACGATGCGGCATCCAGAAGATTCTACGATTGATATATTTAACACTGCCATTGACATAGTTGATGAGAAAGCAGTAAAAGCTAACGAGATGTTTCTCGGCCATCTCTACACGGATCAAAAGTACAAGGCATGTTTAATAAAATATTTCCTCGTTTTTTTCATATGTTTTGGATCATTTTTTTAGTTATAGCGGAGAGAAGCGCTCTTTGAGACTTTTGCGCCCAACGAGGCTGAACTTCGTTTAGCCACACTGCCAGTTGACCTGCCTGAAACCATCGGTTCAGTGGAGTATGCCCCCCCGATAAGTAATTTGTGAAATTGATTGAAACGAGCAATTCGTTTGAAATGTGGGCCAGTCTAGTTGTGATTTCTGGTTTTGTGGGATAGATACGTATAGATTATGTGATCTTGTGCAAACTTTGTCCTTGGGAACATGAAACACTGAGATTCTTCGAATCACGCCATCTGATGGCCATTGGCCGCAAACTCTGAGGCACATGCCAAGGGCCCGGTGCAGCAGTTCCCAGCCGGGGGTGGGTCCCCAGAACTCTTCATCGCTCGAATCCCCCCACGATTGACTATGTATGATTCGTTTTCACTGTCTTAACCAATTTGCTAGTTTTTGGAGAAGCCATAATAGCCAGTTGATTGAACGAGTCCAGATAAGGCTCGCTTTCTGTAAATTTTTAATGTGAGGTTATTTTAATGTTTGAGAGAATGCGTAGGCAAGGAAGTGGGGAGTGCAGGAAGTTGCTCTTGATATTGCAGAGTTGCTCTGAATATCTTATGAAGATTGTCTTGTGGAATTTAGCAATTAATTAAAATAGGAAGCAGTTTTCGGTCCCATGCAAAGTATAATATTATTTATTTATTTATTTATTTTCATACGTCCAGTGGACGCGCTCATAAGGTATACGGAATATATACAAATAGAAATACTATCAGTCGCGAAAAGGGCAGCAGTCGTCCTCAGTTGTGTTACAGCAATTAATGATATGTTAACGACTGACTTAACCAATTTGTGAGAGACAAAAACGAGAGAGGGGCATGTTCAAAAGATCCCTTGAGTATTGTTTGAACTCTGGGTCATACACTAGGTTGATCAGTTGGATTTATGTACAGACATTTGGAAGTAACAAAGAGCATTGCCATGAGCCATAAGGTTAGTGCCTCAAAGATAACCCTACTACGAGGCCGCAGCCCTACAAGGGCGGGTGCAGAAACACCTCTTTGATCTAAATACGAACCCTAGGAGCTGGCTCGGGGGCGCTTGTGAGGATAGCTAACCATGCGATGCCATAACTTGGGCTCATTTTGGGATTGGCTAATAGGCTTTAAATGAATTCGGTAAATTTTAATCAAGTTGGATCAACAGCTAGTGTATGACACAACCCTTTAGATATTTCACTACTATAATTCATTTCCATTGAATGGTATAAAAGTTGATTTGAAGATTACTGAGAGACTGCAATCCCTTTTGCTCACAATGCTAACATCGTTAATATCGTAATAATATACAGTGAAACAGATAGCTAGAGCGAATTTTACACTTTCAAATAATATCTCAGGAAGACCAATAACACAAAGAGTGCCAGTCTTCTTAATAGCTCTTCTGAACTTGTCGAAATTATCGCATGCTGGCTGGTAGCAGTTCGCTTCTTCGCAAAGATCCATGGGTGAAAAATTGCAGAAATAGAAAGAGACTAACCTAAATCTTCAATGTTTAGTGTTGACAATAGGTTGATCTTTTTCAATTTCATTCGGAAAATGTTTGAGTTAGGAGAACAAAGTATATCGGTGGGCAACATTTGGATCCATCGGGCACCACGATAGAAAAATGAGTTGTGAATTTTTGAGCAAAAAGGTCTTTTTATTGGGGCATAGTCTAATACAAAACTGGATAAACGCCCATGACTAGGTCTGAAAACCCAATATTTACTAGCTTTGAGTTTGATTTCCATACGCAGTATCTTAAAGCAAAATATGACATCATGCATAACTCTACGGTATAGAAGAGTTTTCAGTCCGAATAATTCAAGTCTTGTCCTGTAGTTAGGTAACGTACGGGGATAATTAGGATCTGGATTACACCTATACATGAGAATCTTTGTAAACGTTTTTTGTACTTTTTCTACTTTGTTTTGTAGTTTTCTGGTATAGGGGCTCCATAACTGACAACAATACTCTAATTGGGGGATTACATACATTTTATAAAGTCTTTAAGAAAATATTTTTGTCACTGCTGTGAATGTTCGGAAGAAGAAGAAAACTGTTCCAAGTGCTTTACGAACAGCAGCGTCAATGTGTTCGGAAAACTCGAGATCAGAAGCGTAAGTAACACCCAGATCTTTGACAATATTCCGATTTTCAAGGGCAACATCCTTGTACTGATACTGTAGGCAATGATTAGGCCGAAGTGAAATACAAAAGATTTGCTCAAATTTACAGGTAAGTCCCAAGTCATGGACCATTCCATCATCCTTTCTATTGAGCGGTTCAAGGCTTCAGAAACCTCATTTTGATCGTTATTATTATACACGCCATAGATTTTAATATCATCAGCATATATTTGCACCTTGATGGAATTGTGGGTTTTCAATGTAGTTGGAAGATCCAAACAGTAGATAAGAAAAAGAATGGGTGAAAGTACTCCACCTTGGGGGACTCCGCTAGGACAAGAATAACGCTTTGAGAAAGTATTACCTATTTTTACATACATGTGACGATTTGAAAGGTATGATGTTAGCCAGCTCAATAAACATCCATTGATACCAATTCTTTTGAGTTTGTATATGAGTTTGGCATGATTTACTTTGTCAAAAGCTTTTGACAGATCAAAGTAAACAACATCAATCGAATAATTGTTGTTCAAAGCCGAATACCAATCAAACGTGCAATCAAGAAGTTGGGTTGTAGTAGAAGCTCTAGGTGTGAATCCGTGATGTTCTGATGGAATTAGGTTTTGTTTAATTAACCAGGAAACAAGTTTGTCACGTATGATTTTTTCTAAAACTTTTATTGGTGTCGGAATAATACTAATGGCTTAAAGTCTGATATGAGAGAAGTATTTGAAACTTTAGGAATGGCAGTGACAAGTGCTTCTTTCCATAATGATGGAACAGATTCCTGCAGCAAGGATATATTGAAAATCATTGACAGAGGTTTAAAAAGGGCTTTCGCGCATTTTTTGTAGAATACCTGAGGAATTCCATCAATCGTGGGTGTTAAAATTCATCTTGAGTAGCACCTTCCATTTAGAGCTACAGAGCATTACTGTGCACATTGAATCGGTCTACACGATGATCTGGGACCGTATGCACGGCGATTCTGGTCGAGAAGGCAAAGGAAGTCCCGAATGCCTTTAGTTGCCCTCCTGGGAGAAAGATGCGTTATGCGTGTAGACCTGCCGCTTTCAGAGTATTGTATTCAGTTAAGGTGTTTGCTTCTGGATTATCTCAGAGTTGGGTGTATTCCGTTGGTGTGGGAGGATACATGAAAGGCGAAGTCGATGGAAGCCCCAGGTTTGATACTATTACTCCTCTCCACAATATCAAATACGTTAAGTTTGCCTCCAAAGTCATGCGTAGGTCGGTTAATGGTGATTTTCATGTTCCCAGCTCAGAGGCGGATGGCGTAGTAATAAGAGTGTCGCTGTAATCTATGCAGTCGCATTCCTGATCACGCTATTTGCTGCACCCCTTATCCTTGCACTATTTGGGACTATACAAAGGTATTTATGTAGGTTGAGGAGTTTGTGGGGACATTATGTTCTTTCGGAAGTAACTTTATGATTGTGAAAGCTGTTGTGACAGTTGATAAGTGTTTGAAAGAATAAGGGTTTCAAGTTTATTGTGTATTAGACTTTGGTGGCTGTGGTTTCCAGTCTTTCGGTTTCATCACGAACACTGGAGTGCGAATGATTCTGGTGCTTGAAGCCAACAACCTCGAATGGAAGGACTTCGATATAAGATCATTATTCAAGCGATTCCATAACCTCTATTGCATGCAAATCTCCATCTGTCCCACTCGAGACGAAATCCGGTCAAAGTGAGTTGCTGTCTATATACTCTCTGTCAATCCAAAGCGCACCACCGTTGCTTATGTGCCCAATATGCTCTTGTCGGCGGCATGTTGTGTAGAACATTCGATAAAAGGGATAAATAAAGCATTTGCCGTTGATCAATCCTTTTGGGATGCGGCACGCATTCTACTTCCATTTGTACATTCGCAGTGGCGTTTGAATGCGATGTGGCCTATACAATGACTTGCGGGGGCCAGCCGATGTACAAGTCAGTGTTTTTATCCTCCCAGACAAGTCTGGTACCAATTAACCGACCCCGGAGGGATGGAAGGCTTGGTTGGCCCGGGCGACTCACGACCCAGGATTTGATCCCCGGACCGCTCGCGTGGTGAGCGCGCCACTTGTCACTACACCACTTCCGCCCTTTACTTCGATAGCGGCAACAATAATGTGCCTTTTCTGTACTTTCATTCAATTAATGGATTTTGTTAAATTTTATACATGTCAGGTCCTGTCCATCCATTATATTGCAGTTTAAGGAATTGTTGCTTCACGATCAAAACATGGGGAGAAGTGTAGTTGTAGTGAAAGGGAAGGCGCAATGTTACCCCCGTTACTGCGTACACTTTAGCCTATATCTGCCATCTTGTCTTTATACGATGAAACAGTCTCAGCGCGGCGCTGCAGCAAATAACGCGACAGTGGTGCGCTTTACAAGCACCTCGTATGGACGTTACTTTCCTTTCTTTGAATTTCGATTGAGACTTTCAGATCCCTATTGGAAGCAGCTGCACAGATGATAAGCGCTCATGTCGAAGGGTAGTGTGATCACAATTTGTGGGTGTCATTATGTATAAATCGACGTAACATGTGTTTTTCGTTGCATTTGCTGTATTGATCACCCATACTTGTTTGGATTTTCCTTGATTTACTGAAATGCTGATCTCTTAGATGGATGAAGGATTCAGTGGGACTGTCAGGATATCAAACATTAGTGATTTCATCGCACCAAAGCGCCTGGCTATGGTTCATTCTCATGAGGAATGTTGATTTATATTGCGAGGTATACAAATGCACCTTGAGTTCAGGTTTTCTGGAGAAGCAGGAAAAGAGAAAGAGAAGAAAAAGTTGGAGAGATTCGTTACATAGTTATTGACGTAGACAGTGGTGATAGTTAAAGGATAGTAGAGTTTCTCTGGGCGCGCAGGGTAGAGCTGCAGGGTTGGTGAATCAAGGCTGTACATAACTCGGAAACGGACTGACGCTCTGAACTTAGGGTGCATTCATATAATCGTCGTCCGATCCCAACGACCGTACAGCACTGGATGCGTATCGATCGTAAGATGTGTCCTCGATCGTAAGACGTGGCCTAGGATTGGACGATTGATACCCATCCAACTCTATGTGGTCGTGTATAGTGTGGCTAACGATGGGTAACCGAATATGAATGCACTATGACGTCATATCACGTGATTGACCTATGTTCTTTAAGCATTCTTGGTGAACTAGGGAATTGCCCCATTTAAGTTAAATTGTCCTGATCTAAGTCGCTAATGGGGCAAATATTTTTTATCTGTGCCAATGCTGAGCTCATTCTTTGGATAATTACATAAAATAAATTCAAAAACCGCTTCAAATGTTGCATTATTCTGGAGTGTAGAGATCCCGAATTTGGCAGCGTCGCAAAGCGAAGCGGCTTCGTAAGGGTAGTGGCAAGAGTTTGGGGATTCAGCGGGGGGCGAGTAGGCGAGAGCGAAAGGGTAAATGTCTGGTGCGACTACAGGCACTACGCGCGCGGATACTAAATTTTTCTACGCCTCGCAATCGGGATTGTCATGACGTCTCGCTAGCGGTAAGTATAAAGTTTGTACGGACACCGTTCTAGAGTGAACTTGATTAGAAACGTTGGAAGGAAGTTATAGCGCTTAAGAGAAAAATAGAGTGTAGTGTATGATAGTGGATGTGTGGTTTTGCGACGAGTGAGTGACCCTTAACTGTGCTCAAGACAAGTAGAAAAGGAAGGTTTATTGGTTAGTCAAAATCAACAACAACAACGAAAGACAAAGATCACTGGAGGTGGACGATGTCCGAGGGCGGGGCGACCACTGATCGGAGGTCCACAACAGGTGCAGGGCGTAATCCGATTCCACTGTTGAGCCACGAAGGCTTTTTCCGTCGAGCCACTAAGGCTCTTTACACTACCCGAGTCACTGAGACTCTTCTCAACGGCCATTGAGGCCTATTCAGCGAGCCACTAAGGCTCTCTCTTCAGGCCACTCAGGCCAAGTTACTGAGCCACTGAGGCTCCTCTCTGACAAGCCACTAAGGCTCTTCCCCAAGCCACTGAGGCTCTCTCTCCGGAGCCTAGGCCCTCCTTCCTACGGACCGTACAGCTCCCAACTAATCACACGAGAAGGACGACACATGCCTTGAACTGGAACAGTCACAGGAACACCAGAGCTCTGGAACACCGGAGCTCTGGAACTGGAACAGGACGCAGAAGAAGAAGTACTGCATAGGAACACGGACCCCTTTTATTGCACCTTCCCGCCCAAGTCGTTTCCCTCTGGCAAAAGTGGCCTCCATGACCCCCCACGATCAACTCCAAGCACCTCCCTTATCGATACACCGCTCAGACCAGCTGATCTACAGCTGATCTCTCCAGGGCGGATGTTCGCTCTGACATGACGCCCCCCTCGCCCCTGAAGTCGATGTCTCATCGACGCGTGATTCCGCGTGGCAATTGGAGAATCCTTTCCTTGAATTGATTTTTTTCCTTGAATAGGTGGGTGCGCTCTACAATTTTTGGACACAGTTCCTCTTACTGGTTCTGTTTGGCCATTTTCAACTTTTTGCTTATTTTTTCCATTCTTATGCGCTTTTCCAATGAATGTCCGCATCTGGCTATTTCCTCAGTGAGAAGGTTGACGAGCTCACTGGTTGAACACAGTGCATGCGTGTTGGCAGAACTCTTTTTGGACTAGCGGAGGAACTCGTCGACTTCTCTGGTACTCGATACACTTTCGCTTTGCTTTGACACACGGCCCACCTTGCGTGGTGACACGTATAGGCACCCTACTGTCGATCCCCTTTCATTTTTTCTGCCTAGATGCCCTCGGCTGTCTTCTTCTTTTTTTCCCAACTATGGATACCTTGACTCCTAATTTAATTGAGGGCATTAGTTCCCAGTATGATCTCGTCATTTCTACTTGGGCTAATGTGAAACGGCACAGGGCCCAGATTCCCTCCTTCCAACTCGGCCTCAACGTATACCGCTCCCAGAAACTCCATCCTCTTATTCGATGCGTCAAAGACTGGCGTAAGCTGAGAGTTCTCTACCAGTCTCAGCGCGTCCACATTCACTCCTTTATCCTGTGCTTTTGCTAAAATATTTACGGGTACCACACTAATCATCGATCCTGTATCGATTAGTGCTCGGATACTACGCCCAGCATATCAATTCTTCACGAATCACAGTACTAAATCATCTGCATTTCACTCCCTTTTTACTCTCATTCCAGACTGCGAGCTTGGTTAATGATCTCCGACAAGGTTTTCTTCTCAACGCTATCCTGCTTTCTAACATGGTTCACTCTTATTGAAGGCTGAGGGCAATTCCTGGCTATGTGGCCATACCTCGAACATTTGTAACATTTCCTGTCTTCGGTACCCCCTTGCTCGTATCCATGCTGAATCGGCGTATTGTGCTGTGTCTGTCTCTCAGGTACGCTACGAATGTTTGAACCTGTTTGGTAGTCGTTCTGCCAGCCTCTTTCTCTTGACATGGCCGTCTCTCCTCCCTGACGTACTCCAGCGTTATCGTGGGGAAATTCCGTCTCTTCTGCGGTACCCACATGATCACGGTTATGATAATGTGTGGCCCTGCTCTTCCACCGGACTCCACTTGATTTCCTACAAACTCCAAACATAATTTTAGACTGCTCAATGCTTAGTGCTAATTGTTTGATCTCCTCATACGCCTTACAGGGGCTCCACTCCATGTAGAGCTCCTACCAGTTGAAAATGTTCTGGCCCAATAAGACTGTCTAGAAGAGTGTACTCTAACGACCGTTCCTCAATCGTACAGTCTGGATTGGCCCGTCCCCCCTCCCCAAATTTTCTAGAACAATACAGAACTCGGCTACCTCTGACCGGGTCTCATTCTTAGATTTCTGAGCTCCGTGAGCGCTCTCATTCTTCCCGCTGTCGACTCATGCGACAATAGCCTGGACATTTCTCTAATAACCATGTCTAGGCCCCGCTCCTTAGTGGTTTTAGGGAGGGCTGTGAAGACATTTTGCTTTCCAAGGTGATCGTCTCAAGATCTACAGGGAGGGGGGTTGCTTGCTTTGTACCGTCGTAGCACTAAGGCTTTTACACGGACGAAGTCAATGAGATCTTCTAACGGCCGTGGAGCTATTCAGCGAGCCATAGGCTCGTCTCTTCAGCGCACTCAGGCAAGTTACGAGCATGAGGCTCCTCTCTGGACAAGCCACTAAGGCTCTTCACAGCACTAAGTGTTCCGGAGCCTAGGCCTCTTCTACGAAGTTCAGATTCCCAATAAACCACACGAGAAGGCACATACGGCTCTGAAATGGCATTTACAGGAAAACCAAACAGAGCTCTGGAACACCGGAGCTCTGGAACTGGAACAGGACGCAGAAGAAGAAGTACTGCATAGGAACACGGACCCCTTTTATTGCGACCTTCCCGCCCAAGTCGTTTCCCTCTGGCAAAAGTGGCCTCCATGACCCCCCGCGATCAACTCCCATACACCTCCTTATCGATATACCGCTCAGACCAGCTGATCTACAGCTGATCTCTCCAGGGCGGCATGTTCCTCTCTGACAGTCAAGGGGTAATGATTTCGTATAAGTTACAAGGAGCAGGTTGAATGTATAAAATACGTTTTATTCGCTCTGTTGCTGGTCAGCCTTCACAGTCTGGAAAGTGGACATCGAAAACCTTTCCCAAAATCCTCGTCTCTCCTCGTCGGCACTGATTGCTTCCTTCACGAAATAGGGACAGCTGGAACGTCCCCGCAAAAGCATGTAGTTGTGTTCTTAGTGAGATGTAAGCAGGTGGCTATGGTAATTCAATATTTTACCAGCAAGTTCTTGAATCAAATTTTGGAAGGTTCGACAGTAACAAAGTTGCGTCCTATGAAGTCTCTTCACGACAGTGGGATTCCGTTTGGTAGTGAAGTTTGAGCCTTAAGGCGGTATTGAGCGGGTTACGATTAGATGGGTCATTATATAAGGTACGAGGCTAGCTAGTGGTTCGGGTTAGAAACGCGTCAGAACACGAGAAATGGACTCTCCTTTTATGCGATTTGTGAACTTGGTGCGATCTCGATCGGTGCTGCCCCTTCAACGCTAGCGCTCACTGACTGAACCTCGATATATAAGGGGAGGGAGTGAAGCTAGTCGGGTAGGTTGTGCGCGCGATAGTGTCGTGGGAGGCCATAGCTTTATTGCCGGAAGGCATTTCCTTCTGCGAAGGTTGCGAGTCCGGGCCGGAACCCCTAGGAGGCCCGCTGCTATTCACTCAGGCAATTTTTTTTCTTTGACGTGTCAGGTGCAGGGTGGAAGAGCAGCAGAGACAGGTGTTTTGCTGAGGTTCGCCAGAAATGAATTGTCTTCAACTCGGACGGAATAGTCTCTGCATTCTTGAAAGAAGTAGAGAGGTTCATGTTTCGGTTCAAATTACAGTCGATTATCAAAAAGTTGGGGAGGCGTGTCCGAATTGAAGTGAATTGGTAAAGTTGTGGATAAGCGCAGTTGTCCACAGCTTCGCTGATTCAGCATGTATGTTTGGAGGCTTTACACATACCTCTATCAATGCGCACGTCAGTCCAGAGAAGCCTACCCCCTTCGCGATACTGAGTATACATGCTATGGTGGGTGTTTATTCTAGGAGACAGCTGACTGAAAAGGCCATGGTCGATAGAGATGTGCTACTGTAAAGCAGTAGTACGAAGTCGATAACAGCGCTTTCGACGACCTATTAGGGAAAAGCCAACCAATCCCTCTACGTGCTATGATTCAAGTTCTACTTTCTTACTTATTCATCTGTGGGACCCATCTGCCCACCATCGGTCCTCAGATGCTCGGAGAGGTATTGGTAACCTTGTGATCTGCTTCAGAAGATATACGTATATTATCAGCAAAACAAGCCAATTCCGGGTCGTCCTGTGGTGCTGCAGTAACCATGGAAACTAGCTGGCATAATGACCAGAATTGAATCGTTGGTGAGCAGCCTTTCCAGCGCATGAAATACCTGTGTAAAGCAATACATGGCCTCGATCTTGTTTGCGTGCATGAAAGTTGATCAGTTGGGCAGACTGTTTATGTTGAGCAGGTCTTGATGAAGGCTTGGGGTTGCAGATGCGTTTCTGGATTCTGCTCTAAATGGACGCGAACTATTACATCTATCAACATGATGATGATGCCACTCATAGTCGAAAGCTATTCATCCCCTTGTTCCAGTGAAAGTGCGTTGTGTGGTCTTCGAAAAACGTTTACTTATCTCGAAGGTTCAAAGAAATGAATTCTTGGAGAGAGTAGCAATCTCAAGAGCCACGTTCCTTAAAATTCCCTGACATACGAGAATGGACGGAGATCAGGATGGCCTCGGCAGAAAAAAGAGTCTGATGCGCGTCATGTTCGTCTAGCAGGGATCTTCATGGATATCGTTTGTGTGGCAGGATACTGTGGAATTTCTCGATTGTTTGAAGTGTGCCTTTGAAGCAGGAACGATCGCAGGCTAGATACGTGTCAGTGAATAAGTACTGAAAGTGGAGGAAAGGTATTTTGTCCAGACCCTGTATATTTTTTTAAGGGCGCTGACAAAACACTTAGAACAAATGCCTAGACAATGTTCCGTCTATGAACGAACGTACTTTTTTTATTTGAAAAATCTTTTATCAATTAGCTTGAACATTTACTCTCTAAAATTACGGAATTACTGCATATTTTGCTGCTGGGTGATTATTCGGATCATCTTGCCTTTTTTGAGCTACATTTTCTTCGTTTACAGAATTGCATCATTCCACTCGAAACAAGGATTGTTGAAGAACCACTTGTTGCAGTCAGAAAGAGAGATACCGTCAAAAATGGGGCCAAGAAGGTGAGCGTTATTTTACTTAAAGAGTGGCAATCAGTTCATTTTTCTGAGATGTTTTAGGGTGCTGTGAAAATATCTCTTAACGACTGCCTCGCATGTAGTGGTTGTATCACAAGTGCAGAAACAGTCTTAGTCGAGGAGCAGTCGATCACGAGGTATCATTTGCTTCTTGCATTCTCTATAAAATAATGTCATCACGTATTGATGAGCGGAGTAATGTAGTGGCAAGTGGTGCCCATTTTCACGCAGATAGCTCTGGAATCACAGCCTGAATCTCGCCTGAGTCGAGCAAGCATTCTTATTCCGTGATCGGTAATGTTACCAGCAACGCCTGAGGGGGTAAAAACACTAGCTTAAACATCAAGCTGGCCCGCAAGCTTATAAAAAGGATCAAGCATTTGCTGTTGATCAATGCCCTTGGGCTGGTGTCAGAGTGCGCGATCCACTTTCGCGATTTTCGCGATTTTGCGCGATTTTCGCGATTTGCGCGACGGGTCACGGAAATTACAAGTGCCCCATCCATACTGCAAGGTGTTCTCCAATCCCGCCGTCACTTCTGCTTGATGGTTATGGTTTAATGGAGACTGCTCATGATTCCACTTGTTTCATATCCAGTGTTTCAATTGTTCAAATGGGGCACTTGCAATTTTTGTGATTGGTTTGGTTTGATTCCTGAAAAAAATAGGAACGATTCAAGAGCATTTCAATGAACTAATAGACATTGAACATGAAACAAGTAGAACCACAAACATTCGTCTTCCAATCTTTACTGCCAAGCAGAATTCGCAGCAGGATTAAACAACACCTCGCAGTATTCATCGGGCACTTCCAACTCCTGTGATCCATCGCAGGTTTCGCGAAAATCGCGCAAAATCGCGAAAATCGCGCAAATCGCGGACTCTGACAATCCTTTGGGATGCGGCACGCATTCTACTTCCATTTGTACATTCGTAGTGGCGTTTGAATGCGATGTGGCCTATACAATGACTTGCGGGGGCCAGCCGATTCAAGTCAGTGTTTTTATCCTCCCAGACAAGTCTGGTACCAATTAACCGACCCCGGAGGGATGGAAGGCTTGGTTGGCCCGGGCGACTCACGACCCAGGATTTGATCCCCGGACCGCTCGCGTGGTAAGCGTGCCACTTTGCCACTACACCACTTCCGCCCCAAGATACTGTATAGCAAAATTGGCAACCAGTGTTCTCTGCAGTGTGGGATGAAGTGGCGTGAGGCGCTCATGAAAGAGGGACTGCCTTAAAGCCAGACGTTTAAATCTTTTTTTGTGTTAGAAAGTGAGCGGAGTTGGCTTAATGGCAGTCGACGCCGTTTGTCGCGCATACGGTGGAGTCACTTTTCGGATCGAATTTCACAGCTCCTTGTCTCAGGTGTCGGTTAGCTAGTGCCATCTTATCGTTGATGCAAGAAACGTGTAGACCGCTTTGTTACGCAAGTCGTTACGGAGAACAAGATCGCATCACGAAGTCAACAACGCTGAATTAGAAGCTAGGAGTGTGTGGGACCTGAACCGGTGGACCCGGAAGCATTTGGAAATATTGAAGTGTGGAAGTGAAGGTTGATGTGGAACTGGAAAGGTTGATGCGAAACCAAAGAAGTGGTTCATTCCGTTCTTGTTTATGTAATTTTGTTTTCAGGCTGTTAGATGGAATGTCCAGTAAGCAACTTTCTGTGATTACTGTTTGCCCACAAAGTGTCTGCTCAATTGCTGTGAAAAGGAACATCTCAGTTTCCGCAAGCAGCTAAGCTCATCGCGTCATATTTCTTTTCTAAAGGCATGTCAATTCGATCTTCGTCATTCCCATTCAGTAACATTTTTGATATAAAATCTTTTATAAACTAAAGCGTTTGTCTACTAACTACGTTTAGGGGCACATTATGTGGTTGATTCTACGTTTGGACGGTCTTTCTGCTTAGAAGAAGCATACCACGAGTTCGAGTCAAGCTCATCGCGACCGCTGCTGGTCTCCTCATGCCCAGGATTTGTTTGCTATGCAGAGAAAAGTCATGAAGCTTTCCTATTGCCTTTCGTGAGCAAAGTTAGGTGAGCCACTCCAAGTTCTTTTACTAAATGTAAGCTCAATGAGCTTCCAGGAGACTATTTGTATTGATTTCCATAGTCAACATTGCTCAAATAACTTATCCTGTCTCAGGTCACCACAAGCCGTGACTGGAGCGCTAGTGAAGGACTATCTTTCTCGGCGACTTGGAGTACCCGTCGATTCCATCTACCACGCTGCTGTGATGCCATGCTTTGATAAAAAATTGGAAGCTTCTCGTCCCGATTTTTATGTGCCTGGTACGGAAAGTGCACGTGAAACCGACTGCGTCATCAGCACAGGTACTATTTTCAGCCTCAAAATGCGAAGTGAAATAGAAGAGCATGAAGAAAGAAGCTAAACTGCCTTCTAGGGATGAGGAAAAATAGACCGGAGCAAATTTCTCGATAAGGATGCGCAACGCAATTTACTTTTCACTCTTAATAGCAGTGCTGTTTAGAAACAAAAGGCGGTGCCAGCCTCAGAATTTCCAATCTAATATCAGGCCTAAGGGATCAAATGCAGGTGGTGTCAGCAGAGTTCCGTGCAAAGGAATATGGCGCTTATTGTCACCGTTACCAACTCAGCATTAAACCTCATCAAGCGTAGAAAGCAGTATCAAGTCGCCAAGTAAACAAGACATGTGCGAAGCCGATATTACCGCGACTCTTGCCGGTATGCACGAGTGCGTCTTCATTATTTAAAAAAAGTTCAAGCGAAGGGAAGGGATTCCATAAAGTTACAGGAAAGAAAGGGCGGAAGTGGTAGTGGCAAGTGGCACGCTTACCACGCGAGCGGTCCGGGGATCAAATCCTGGGTCGTGAGTCGCCCGGGCCAACCAAGCCTTCCATCCCTCCGGGGTCGGTTAATTGGTACCAGACTTGTCTGGGAGGATAAAAACACTGACTTGTACATCGGCCCCCGCAAGTCATTGTATAGGCCACATCGCATTCAAACGCCACTACGAATGTACAAATGGAAGTAGAATGCGTG